CCGCCCTGCCCCGGCTGGCCACCCCAGGCCTGATACAAGCCAGGATGCTGCTGGCCCTCTTGGCCACCTGGGCACACTGCTGGCTCATATCCAGCTGCCTGTCAACCAGCACCCCCAGGTCCTTTTCTGCCAGGCAGCTTCTCAGCCCCTCTTCCCCATGCCTGTAGCATTGCGTGGGGTTGTTGTGACCCCAGGGCAGGACCCGGCCCTTGGTCTTGTTGAACCTCACACCATTGGCCTGGGCCCATGGATCCAGCACCCATCTGCATGACTACAGACATGGGTACCTTGGCACATCTTGAAATAAGAAGTCTATCACTGGGTCATCCTCTGTGGGGCCTGTTGTGCAGGGGAAGAAAAGAAAAAGGGAATTTACAGAAGAGCTAAAACATCTTTCTGAATTCTTCTAATACCACACGATCATCCTAGTGCAAGAGGGAATAGTTTTTGGAGCAGTACGAATTGTTCTTGAATAGAAAGACAAATTTTGTTTAGCCTGAAAGTACAGCTCAATGAATGGATGAGCAAAGCCTTGAACAAGATTTCAAAACAAATTTCAGGTTTTATGAAGACCGCTCTCCTAGCATTCACCAGCTAGTACTTTCCTTCATTGATTGCTGCTCTAAATATTAAGCTGTAGCCTGACTGATTAGACTGAATAGAAACAAAACAGCACCCTGCTGCACCTCGTCTTCATGGAGACATATTCTTCCTTCATCCCTGCCACTCCCTCTTTCCTGAAGTTGAGTTTTAAATTCTCTTTCAGAGTGCATGACAGTCAAATTTGGAATATTAGGGCAGCACGGAACGCAAGTTTCGTTTCATTTGCATGGTTTGTCAGAAGACTTGTGCCTGAACACAGCTGAAGAGAGACAGGTCATGCTGCTTTTTCACTGAAAATACAAGCAAGCAATGAAAGCGGAGCTCTTCGCTCGGAAGGGTGCTGTTGTACCTCCATATTGATCTGCAATAAGTGATTCTTTTCCTCCTGCTACCATCATACCCAACAGCCTTGTCCCTGCCAGCATCCTCTTGTTTTTCAAACAGCATGCAGAGGACCTCTATTGCCACTTCACCACTGGAGAAGCCAGT